CCCCAGGGGGTTGGGGTGACCACCTTTCTTGCCCAAATCCCCCTTGTGACTGGATGGGGCAAGGTAGAGGTAGGTGAGCAATAGGTCTGGCTCCACCCTCGGGGGGGTCCCAGCCACGGGGGCTTTTGCCCATAACCAGAAGGTCAAGTGGCTTGTTCCGGAGCCAGCAAGGGTCAGAGGCCGGCTGCCCGGTTTATTTTATTTAACTTAATTTTGTTTATGAGTGTGTGTCTGCCTGCCCCTCCCCTCAGTGTTAAGTGGGAGCCCTGAGGGAGCCTCTCCTCCCCCCAGCCGCCTCCCCCGTTTCCTCCCTCTATCTCCAGTCACCAGCCGTCCTTCTGGACCAGGCGGAGGGTTGAGCGGGCAGGCAGGAGCCTGGGGCGACTTGGCCCAGCCCACCAGCCCATGACCCCTTCTCAGGCCACCAGTATTGCCCCTTCCCTTTTTAAAATGAAACACCCTTGTTTGTAAATCCTTAGTTGCTTGAGAATAAAACCCCTCCCTTTTCTTCCACTGAGTCTGTGGTGTGACCTGAGCCTTGGCAGGATATGGCGAGATGTGGGAAGGGTCTGTAAGCCCTGACCTTGTGGTTGGAGGGCCGGGAAATGGTGAATTCTGGTGGAGAAGGTCTCTGCATCAAAAGGGAAACTGAGGCAGGGTGGTAGCTGGGAGGGTGGTCTTTGTAGTGATTTGCCCAACATCAAGCAGGCAGTATGGAGGGACACCCGACCCCCCATAGCCAGAGGTCCTGCTGGAGAAGAGCTCTTAATCCCTGGCAGGCCTTGGGGAAGGGCTCTGGTGTCAGCCCGTCAGTCTGCCACCCCCGCTCTTTGCTTTCCGGAGTGGCTGCCCAGCCAAGGACAGGGACACCTGCTTACCTGCTGGGCCTGGTGCTGCCTGGACTGGTGCCTCTGCCTCTGGCCCCACACACTTACCGCAGCCAGTCCAGCATGCTGGGCGCCATGGTCCTGCTGCTGGCCCTGCTCCCAGGGATCTCCACCTTGCCCAGCGGGCCACCTGGTATGTAGGGATTGGGAAATATATATGCCTTCATGCTCCCATTCCTCCACCACCCTTTCTGAACCTCCATCTATCTTGCCTTGGGAAATGTGTGGGTGGGCAGTGGGGTCTACCCCTGTCCCCCATTTCCAGGTTCTCTGGGATCCCCAACTTCAAAGTTCCCAGCAGCCACGTGAGGCCAAGTACTGTGAGAGGGGAGGGGTCTGGGCAGATACTTTTAGGGAATGTGTATGTGGGCCATCATGAAGCAGACACGTGTGCACTGCATGTGCATGTCCTCACTGATTGGGAGACCCCTGTTGGTGTTCCTGGTGCCTCTACCTTTACTGCGATGCCCTCAACCTGAGAGTCAGGAGTCTGGACAAACGGAAAGCCTGGTGGCCTGGCTGGGCTTGGGCTGTGCCAAAAAGGCTGTGGGAGAGCACCCCTCTTTCCTTCCCCCCCTTCCTTTGATGACAGCACCTGTCTCCTCTTAGAAAGGGAAGGGTGGGGGCCCCACACTCCTGGCCCTGCTGCAGCTTCTGGGCTCCTCAGCCCCTTCCCAGTCTGGAATTCCCTCGCTCACTGTGGGGAAGGAAAGCAAAGCCAAGAAGGGGAGCCCCTCAACCAGGGGCACACGGCTTTGTGCACAGCCTCGCTGCTGGGCTGTGATGCCCCATGGGTCTCCAGGGAATACATCATAGCTGGTGTCCCACCTGCCTGAACTATTAGCTTAGCGTGAGTGAATTCACGCAACACTTTACAGAGGAGGCTAGGAGATTGAACCATTTGCTTGAGGGCCTAAGGGGGAGCCCGCACTCGCTCTGTGCCACTCTTTCTGCCCCGCCAGCGCCCCCCTTTCCAGTGGCGCCCGGGTCGTGGCTGCGTCGACCCGTTTTCAGTCTAGAGCTGTCAGACGCACAGGACGCGTTCCACCGCCGCGCAGGGCCGTTCGAGGTCCCAGCGGACAGCCGCGTGTTCGTGCAGGTGCGGTCAGACGTAGGGCAAGCCGGGCCGGCGGGCAGGTGGGCGCAGCTGGATCCTGAAGGCGACACTCCACCCCCAGGCGGCCCTGGCCCGGCCCTCCCCGCGCTGGAGCCTGGCCCTGCACCGCTGCTGGGTGACGCCCTCCTCACGGCCAGCCCCAGGACCCACCCTGGCGCTACTGCAAGGGGGCTGCCCCGCCGATTCCTCCGTCACCTTCCCGCCACCACGCCCTGGGGCCGCCCGCTTCAGCTTCCGTCTGCGCCCGGTCTTCAATGCCTCTGTGCAGTTCTTGCACTGCCAGCTGAGCCGCTGCCGCCTCCGGGGAACCCACCGGACTCCTGAACCTCTGACGCTGCCGCCCCAGTCCCCGGTGTGCGGGCGCAGGACGGGGAGGCTGGGCTCCTGAGGCCGGTGTGGGGTGGGCAGGATCACCTCCAGCATTGGAAGGAGGAGCCTCTTGGGTTTGGGGAATCTTGGGGTCAGGGCTCTTTGGAGCCTGGGGCACGGGTCCCTTGGAGCTGGGGGTAGGTACTGGGTCTCTCCCAGGCCAGGCACAGCGGCCTTGAGGGGCCCCAGGGGCT